ATGTAAAGCTCATCTTGATTTTATTTCAGGTTGGCTTGTCAAACATCCTGGAAAGCATTGTGGAGACTCTCAAGGAGAAGCAAGAGATTTCCTATCTTTTTTTAAAGCCAGTTTCCAAGAAGGATGCTCCTGACTACCTTGATATCATAAACCGACCGATGGATCTGTCCACAATCCGTGAAAAGGTGAGGAGGATGGAGTATAAAAGAAGCGAAGAATTTAGGCATGACATATGGCAAATCACCTTCAATGCCCATGCGTACAATGATAGACGCAACCCAGGTATTCCTCCAATGGCTGATCAGCTTCTGGAGCTTTGTGACTATTTATTAGATTTGAATGATGCTGACTTAAGGGAAGCTGAAGCTGGTATTGAACATGGAGATTGATAGGGAATTTTTTTGATGTGCCTCTTCATTCCAGTTAATTTAGAGAATCCCTTAGTGAGAGCCTTTTTTTTTTTTTCTCGCTTCTCTCCTTTCTTGGGGTTCCTAGCACCTGGGGGATGGAAAAACGTCCCCAATCTGTAGAATCTGTCTGTATATTCTGAGTTTTCTGTGACATATACGCCCTGTGACTCTTGTCTATTTATACAAGAGAAAAGGAAATAGAGAATATAATACTTAGAGCTCCTTATTTTTGTTTTCTCTTGGTGGTTCTTCTTTGATTTTTCTCGATACTTTTCTTGATGGCAGATGCTTATTGCAGTTATTATTCTATGAGAAAATTGAGCTGTTGTTTATAGGTCTTCGCTTTTCTAACACCAAAAAAGTCGATAATGAAACTTGCAACACCACTGCTGCATATTTATACATCTCTTCTTTCTTTTTCTTTTTTTTTTCTGTCAAAAAGAAACTGTTCAACTGTGGATGCAGTTGTGGTGCATTGCAGGGAATGGTGGTTGTGGCTTGGTAGTAATTATTGATAGTCCTTATTCTTTTATTTTTTTTCATATTAGTGTTATCATGTATTTGCAATCTCAGGCTCGCTCTAAAAAAATAAGTATGTAAACTCCAGGTCTAATGCGGTTGATTTGCCAAAAAATGAAGAAAACCCACAGCCAGGGCTTCTGGCAGTAAACGCAAAATAGGCACGGGGAAATGATTCTTTGCTGTAATGGAAAATTCGGAATATTCTTAGTACCAGCATCTTTGATTAATCTGGCAAAGCAGACAATACGCTTTACATATATCAAATTCCTTAAAACACAATTGGCACAGAATCAGAGACAGAAAATCAAGGGCCAATAAGATTTTAGGCCACTTTCCCTGCCAATTCAATCATGAAATTCCACGAACAGGTACAACATAATCAGACATCCAAAAGGTCGCTAGATTGCAATCAATTCCACCATTGATGCACAGCAACCCCTTGATCTCTCAAGCTTCCGTACAAAGCTAAACACTGCCAATAGGCCTCTTGCTTTCATTTTCTTCTTCCACTCCATCATCTTGAAAGTGGTTCTTGCACTCTAAGAACAACTCATCCACCAAGCAGATTGTCTTCTCTCCATCATCTCATCAACAACCTGTGCTTCTGCCTTCATTACAACGAAGTCTTCTTGCCTCGCATTATTCTTCAGCCAACCTGATATCCCTGCAGCAGGATTCACCATGCTTCTTGATGACAATTTTTCTGCAGTAATCTCTAGATTGTATGTCTCAAAGTGTTGGTTTTCGGTTGGATAGTTGTTGTGAAACCAACCTTCAAAACCACTTTTGTCATCTGAAATCAAGATCCTTCGTCTATAACTTGCCAGGGAGTGGAAGTCCCCTAACAGATGAGGAAGGAATTTGATTTTCCTCATTTCATCTCTCGAGGACTTCAACAATGTCCTTCTGGGAGGCTCGAGCAAAGCATCCTCTAAGCCTTTCAATGCCATTTTCCTGGCGTCTTGTGCGATCCCACAAGGGATCGACCTTTTGGCTGAATTAGTCAAGCCATCTTTACTGCTAATTTTCCTCATTGCAACCATGGTATTCTCAACCGTCGCAGATACACAATCCTATAATTGATTGTCGTTGCATCAATCTTGAAGGATCATTGCTCAACTTTGTGATCACAATGCCGCCATTCTTCAGAACGCGGTCGACGGAATCAGCATTCTTGAAGCTGAAGCTGAAAACGAAATCAAAAGTTTCATTCGGAATGGAGTCCTCCAAGTTGGTTTCAGAGGCCACAATATTATCACTGTCACTCACGAAGTCCAAATCTTTCATCAAATCATCAAGGCTAGAACCCACGATGAGGCCTTTCTGACCCTCTTGATCAGGCCTTCGTCGGCCAAATCACGAAAAAGAACAGGCAATATTTTGAAATTAGCCAGATCAGAGTTCACCTTAGAAGCATTGGAAGAGCTTCTTAAAACAGAGCCAATTGAAGGCAATGTGAGCAAAATGATTGCCAAAAACAACGACCTGGATACAATCTGCAAAACCTGCGAATCAGGCAGCTTAATTACCAAAAGGGTATGGGAATTCAATCCCATCCCACCACCATTCGGCTCCTTCACCTTGATTCCGGCGCTGGTTCTATACCCTTGAGCCAATTCCATGTTTTCACAACAAAAAAGAATGATTTTTGATCTTCGTGCAACTTTTTTCAACTACTAATCCTCCAATGCACCTTCACCAAAAAAGCAGCGAGCAAAGATGCAGACTTTTGAGCAATAATAAAGCCCAAAATCAAGAAATCTTAATTATAATTAATCAGGAAAAAAACCAAAGCCAACGGGGATGGAAAAAGGGATTTAGCGGGTGCAAAATCTGGCAGCGGTGTGGTTTCCACCCACAAGGGCCACACGGGTGCTTCGAGCTCTACACCAAAGAAGCAGCAGCTCCCTGATTCTTGCAATCTCCATACTTTTTTTCATTTTCCTCTCTCTCTCTCTCTCTCTCTCTCTCTGTCGCTGATATTCTGCTGTCCCCTCTCTCTGAATATTTAAAATGGGCAATACAAACGTTGTTTTCTACATCTTATGATGGATTTTGTAACCGACGACAACCTATAAACTCAACCACCACCATGCCCAGAGAGAGAGGGGGAAAGGGACAAAATCAGAGAAAAGGGCAGCGAGAAATGGAGGAGGAGATGATAGAGGAATATATAGGTCGGGAGCGGAAATGTGTAATTTCCAATCCGGAGTTTAAGCATTAAATACAGTAGTGATGCGAACATCTTTGTGTTTGTTCACATGCGTGTAGGGACGCCGTGGGGAAGTAGGTTGTGGTCGATAATTATGGAATAAATTAAGAGGCTTCTCAGCTGGAATTTTGATATAGTTTAGTTTAAAAACCAGCAATTTCTACCCAAATAAGAAATGAATTCCTTGTGGAATTTGTTTGGTTTAAATGGTGGAAATCGAAGCTGGTGAGGAGAGGAAAGAGGGAGGAGGAGATTGGAGCGTTCGTTTTATTGTGTGGCATGAATTAACTTCGCATCCTAATAAATTATGACTTCCCAATTTTTCTCATGCTCTGTGCAAGTTCTTGTGGTTGACGCACGCGGGTGGATCAGAGGCCTTGCTGTACGATGCGATCAGATTCTCAAAGATTTTCTCCTATTTAAGTAAGTGACCTGTATCATATCTTATCTTACATATATAAAGCGAGAATCCGCTTGTGAACAGTAAAAAATGGGCCGGTTATGCCGTTATTTGTGTGAGCTTGAGGGGCGTTTTGGTCTTTGCTGATGGGTGGCAGTGGCTCTGCTGGTATTTTGCTTTGTCCGCTGGCTCTCTTGCATTGTAACCTTGCTCTGTCCGCGTGGCTCTTCATTTTGGTAGTCAGCAATGCTCTGTCCGCGTGGCTCTTCATTTTGGTAGTCAGCAATTACTATTAAGTTAGTGGGCGGTTGGGCGGCAAAAGCTTTCTAGAGTCTTCATTCTTTGCTTTATGTATATTTCACCTCACACGCATGTTTGGTTTCCTAAGCTTTTGTGTAATTGCAGTTGCTTTGCCTCCGATGGTGAGTAGGCAGTGGACGGTGTCTCCAGTGATCTCTGGTTTTGCAAAGTTTTCAATAGTCTTCACTTGTTGCTTTATGTATATTACGCCTTATTTTTGTGACTTTGAGGGGTTCTTTGGTCTTTTCCCATTTAGTGGCAATGCTTTTATCCGCTGGCTCTCTTGCATTGTAGCTTTGCTGGGCATTTTGCTTTTGTCTGCTGACTCTCCTCAATTGTAGCTTTGCTTTGTCCGCGTGGCTCTCCATTTTGATAGTCAGCAATTACTATTAGTTAGTGGGCGGTTGGTTTGGTCTTTTGCTGATGGGTGGCAGTGCATTTTGCTTTTGTCTGTTGGCTCTCTTGCATTGTAGCTTTGCTGGCATTTTGCTTTTGTCTGCTGACTCTCCTCAATTGTAGCTTTGCTTTGTCCATGTGGCTCTCCATTTTGATAGTCAGCAATTACTATTAGTTAGTGGGCGGTTGGTCGGTCAGCTATATCCTTTCTTTTCTCCTAGCTTTTTTTCTTCTTCTTAGGTTCTGTTCTTCTTCTTAGTTTTGTTTAGCAGCTTAAGAAATGCCGTGGAAAGTTTTCTAAAGTTTCCTATTGACGCTTTTATATGTAAGATTTCATCTCACGTGTATGTTTGGTTTCCCAATCTCTTGTGTAATTACAGTTGCTTTGGCTCCCCAGTGATCTGTGGTTTTGCAAGGTGAAATTGGTTTCCCAATCTCTTGTGTAATTGCGATTGCTTTGCCTCCACTGGTGAGTAGGCAGTAGACGGTGTCCTCAATGATTTGTGGTTTTGCAAGGTAAAATCTTTATTGTCTCACTTAGCTGATTTTCTGATGGTTTCTGTAGATTAATGTTTGGACAATGGGTCGGAATAGAATATATAAAAGTTTAGAAGAGGCTAATGCTGAGAAAAATCGAAAGAGACGCGACCAACGTGCTGCTGCTCGCCAAAGGAGAAAAAATGATGTGCCATCAGGAGTGTGTACGCTGGCTGTCACAGCTTTTAATATACGTGAACCAAATACTATTAATCAGCCAAATATGAGTGCTGCAGAATCTTCATTAGGCTCAGACCCAGTGCTGCCATCTACACAGAATAATGCAGAGCAATTTCCAATGGTATGAGATGTTAGCTTTTATCTATTACAGATCAGATTGACTTATTTAAGCGTGTTAAACTCCCAATCTTTAACTATGCTGTCGTTGTATTGCAGGAAAATGAACAAAATGTATCTAGCTCTATTGTTGATAGTGCTAACGAGGTTTCATCAACTAATATAGGTATTGGTCAATCACCATTACGTAGAAAACGTCGATCTGTAAGACGCTCTGTTACTGATCCGTTAGCCACGATAGCTATTGAGCCCACAGTATTGCCTGATGTTCCAAATTGTCCGTACTGTCATGCAAAACGATTTCATCACGAACCGCCTGGTTTTTGCTGTTCCTCTGGTGAGATACAGCTATTATCTACTGAGATGCCGGAGAGCTTATGTTATTATATATTGAAGATTCTGATCATGCTGTCGAGTTTCGCAGATGCGTTAGAAGCTATAATAATATGTTTGCATTTACCTCGATTGGTATTCATTCTGACAAATCTTTGGCTGCAAATTATAATGGAATTTATACATTTCGAATCCAAGGACAAATGTATCATTATATTAATGCGCTTATTCCAGAGGATGGTGAGAAGCCACGAAACTTGCAGCTTTATTTTTTTGACACTGAGCATGAAACAACGCAGCGGCTTTCAATTTCAGCTAGATTTCAAGAAACACTGGTGACAAAGCTTGAGGAAATTTTAAAGATCAATCCTTACTCTGCATTCTTTCGAGGATTACAAGATTTGCCAGACATGGATGATTATAAGATTGTGCTTGAAACTACGCCTGCTATAGATCAACGAGTTTTCAATAAACCTACTGTGTCACAAGTAGGAGCTGTTTGGACTGATAGTTCAGATTTTGAACATCTTAACTCTAAACATATACAAATTTATGGAAAGAATGGTCAAACGCAAATTGTTAAGCATTACTTTGCTTGTCATGATTCATTGCAATATCCTCTTATCTTTGCAAATGGAGAACCAGGTTGGCATCCAGGGATTGAGAGAATGCGCCGTCCGGATAGAGGCAATATTAGACCAGTTACTTGTGAGGGACAAACTGTTATAGCTACAGCTACAGCAACAACGGCAAATGATATCATTGATGCGGAAAATAGAGGTATTACCAATAATCATCTCCATATAGCATCGTCTATTATCTTTCTTTATCGATAAATAACATAAATATCATTATTTGTTTGTTTCAGCTATTAACCAAAAAAAAAGAAAACGGAACACGGTTTCATGTCGTGAGTACTATTGTTACAAACTGCAAATTCGAGATGCTGATCAGTCAATGTTATTGCATATAGGCAGATTACTGCAACAATACGTGGTCGATATGTATGTTAAGATTGAGTCAATTAGATTAGATTTCCATAGAGGGAGGAACAAACAGGCTCAACTTCGAACTGAGATTTTATCAAGGCATAGTCGATAGCATTTCCAATGGTGAATCATCATCATCAGGTATTGGTAAACGTATTTTCCTTCCAGCTTCATTCATTGGTGGGCCTCGAGATATGCGACGCCGATATATGGATGCTATGTCTTTGGTTCAAAGATATGGGAAACCAGACATCTTTCTGACAATGACTTGTAACAAGAATTGGCCTGAGATTAAAAAATTGCTTCTGCCAACTGATAAAGTTGAGAACAGGCCAGATCTAATTTCTCGAGTCTTCCGTGCAAAACTTGAAGTCTTGAAAGATGAACTTCTGAAGAAGAATATATTTGGAAAAATAGCAGCTTACACATATGTAATCGAATTCCAGAAAAGAGGTTTGCCCCACGCTCATTTCTTAATAATTCTGAAACAAGGATGGAAGATGTACTCTCCTGAATCATATGATCGTGTAGTATGTGCTGAGCTGCCAGATGCTAGCCGCCATCCTTATCTTCATGAACTCGTTGTTAAGCACATGATGCACGGTCCTTGTGGTGCTATGAATCCAAAATGCCCATGCATGAAACAACATCTTGGATGCAAGGATAACTATCCTAAGGAGTTTACAGAAATCACACGGCACAGCCACAACTCCTACCCTCTCTATCGACGACGAGATTTTCAGCAATCAATAATTGTTCGTGGGCCATCCTCTTGATAATCGATGGGTAATACCATACAATCCGCTATTTACTCTCTAAATTTAATTGCCATATCAATGTAGAAATTGTTCAACAATTCAGGCTGTCAAATATATATATAAATATATCTATAAAGGCCATGATAAAATTTTATATCAGGTGAGTAATACTGGGCCTATTGAAATTGTTGACGAAATAAAAAATTTTGTTTGTGGCAAGATGGGTCTCTCCTCCTGAAGCAATGTGGAGAATCCATAGTTATTAAAACCAACCGGACATCAACCGGCAAGAGGACCGGGTGTTGACGGGTCAGTGGTTCAACCGGTGGATCACTGGTTGAACCGTTGGGTCACAATATATAATAAAAAAATATATAATATAATTAAATAAACATGTAAATTATAATATAATTACAGAAATTCTTAAATCCCAACAAGTTATAACCTGTTCATAGTTCATAGTTCATAATTCATTTCACACACATAATCCATAACCATATGTGATCAACAATTCATGAATTCAAACTAAAATCAGTAAATTACACACAAATATAAATGATAAATATAAGTATCAAACCATGAAACATAAGTCATAAACGACCAATTCAATACAACCAAACATAAAGTCATGAACATAAACAACACCACAATTATCACTTGAGTAGTTCACTCCATCTATTATTCATGCCATGGTTCCCAACTTCTGCCAAATTCAGTACCACCAAATTCATTTACATCACAGCCCACATTAAGATCATTTCTTTCAACATTCTCTTCATTATTGGTCTCATCTTCATCTCCAGTGTCCAAATCATCCAAATTTAGAGTTTCATCTACATAAGTACAAAAATCAATGAATTATTCTCTAAATTTAGATAATATTTAGCCAAAAACGAAAAACAAACTAACAAAGAATAAGCAAGCATATGGCTCAAATAGAATAACTCACCACTTTGTCGGCTGATAGCAAATGTAGCTATTTCATTCCTAAAGCTTTCTAATTCAACTGGAGTTAATTGTGAAGGTTCATCATCCAAAATCCAAGTTTCATTGGCGCTGAAGTCCTCAAAATCAATAGGATCATAATTTCTACCCCTTGCATTTCTAATAATACAAAACATTAAAACTAGTTAAATAACAAATGTCGTCATATTAAAACAAAAATCAGATTGCAAAATGTAGTTTACCTTTGTTGTAGTCTTAAATTGTAGTGTACATAAACCAAATCATTTAGTCTTTGATGCTCCAATCTATTTCTCTTCTTTGAGTGGATATGCTCAAATAAACTCCAATTCCTTTCACAGCCAGAAGCACTGCAAGTTTGGCTTAGAACACGTATAGCTAGTTTTTGCAAATTAGGTGCAGTGCTACCATAACATGTCCACCATTCATCTATTGCAATAAATAAAGGAAAAAAGTCAGAATATAATATTTTACAATTAAAATCAAATCATCAATAAAAATGAAGTTAATTTTTGGGTACCTGGAAGCATGACATCACGATCTCGTATAGCAGAGACTCTACCAAAATCACCTTCAGCTTTACGAAATAATCTCATCTCTCCGGTCAAATTACTCATCAAATCAGGATTTGCATAAGAATATCTCTCAATCACATCCAAAAGTCCTGATGTTGCATGCCTGTGCTTTTCCAAATCAAGAGAATTATATTGATAAGCAGGATTGAGCCAATAACCGGCAGCATGAAGATTTTTGTGAAGCTGACTATCCCATCTTGAATCAATTATTCTTAAATAAGGATCAACTGTTTTTTTTTTCTTGTGAATCTTCTCAAAAGCTCTTCTCTGGCTCTATGCATGGCAGCATACAAGTATCCATAGCAGGCCTTTCATCACTATCAACAATTCTTAGAACTCGAACAAGAGGCTCAGTTAATTGAACTATTATAGCACATTCTTTCCAGAATATAGAATCTAGCACAAGATCCACAAATTTTTTTGCTTTACTCTCCTTAGCATATGCTGAAAGAGTCCATTCTTTTGAAGTCACCATAGCTCTTAAAGCATCTTTTTGCACTAAAATACTTTGCAATGCAATGAAATTAGTAGCAAAACGTGTAGGAGCAGGCCGAATAATTTCTTTTCCACCAGTGTGTTTTCTCATCAAATGCAATGGATAACAATGATTATAAATGTATTTTGTTATTTTTGAAGCATGTCCAACCACTTTACTAACCTCATCTAACTTGCCCATATCATGTAGCATCAAATTTAGACAATGAGCAGCACATGGAGACCAATAAAGTGTTGGAAATTCCCTTTCTAATAATCTTCCTGCAGCAACATAATTGGCAGCATTGTCAGTGACGAAGTGTACCACATTTTCCACCCCAACAAATAAAACCACTTCTCTAAACAACTTATACAACATCTCTGCAGTCTTAGAAGCATCCGAGGCATCAACTGATTTCAGAAAAATAGTTCCTCTAGGACAATAAGCTAGAAAGTTGATGAGAGTTCTCCTTTGTTGGTCAGTCCATCCATCAGCCATAATAGTACATCCAGTTTCTTTCCAACTTGTACGAAAGCTATTAACAAAATTCTTAACTTGCTCAACATTTTTTGTCAATAAATAGCCACGCAAGTCATAGAAATTAGGCGCTTTGTAACCAGCCCCAAAAGAACAAGCAGCATCAAACATTGTTTGATAATATGCAGAGTTTGCTGCATTGAAGGGAATGGAAGCATCAATCATCCACTTCGCAACTGCCAAGTCAACCTTCTCTTTAGTTTCTTTGCTTTGCATCACACTTTTGATGGATGGTTGACCTCCTGGAGTAGCTCTTGGCATAAAAAAAGTCCCTATTGTTTTTCCTTTTTTGTGTTGTTGAAGAACTTTTTTTCCTTTTGAAACTTCACTAGTGGGAGGTGGTTGAATCTCTTGAATATCTTCTACATCTTGCATGTATACCTCCTCTTCATGTTGTCTTAGATCTTGACCATATAAATCACTTCCCCTTGAGCGTTCTTTCAAGCTTCTTTTCTTGCTTTCCACAGCTTTCAAGTTTTCTAGCATTTCAAATCTAATCTGTTCATCAACCTTCAGACAAGGTGTTGTCTCCCCTTTTAAGCCTGCAAGGTGCTGTTTGAATCGATTGATACCACCTCCTCGAATTCTTTTTCCACAATGAATACATACCAAGCACTTAACTTTTTTGTTGGACACAGAATCTTCTCTACAATGAGACCATGCAGGGTCTGTCTTTCCCCTTGTTAGAGGTTGATTTTGAGAATTTGATGTACTAGGTGTTGGTTCTGTACTTGGTGTTTGAGACGGTGTTTCTCCAATAGAGTCCATTACAAGCTATCTGAAAAGTAATAAAACATATCTTTTATTTAAAAAAATAACATTTATAGCTAGGAAAATGACATTTATATATGCCTTAATTGAAACGAAAAAGTGAAACTTAAATGCAAACATAATGGAAAGCTAAATGCCTTACTGTCATTATCCCTTGAAAGTTCGATTGAGATGGATCCATATCACTATTCATGATTTTGATGTTTGGGGAATGAAATGAAATATGGTATCAAGATTCAAGCTATGGGAGGAATCACAAGAAGAATTAAACAACCTTTGTTTATTGTATCTTGTATATTGATTTCTCCATATCACTTTTTTTTTTGGAAAGAAAAACTACTAAATTATATATGGCATTCCCTTACTACATATAGAAGAAGATGAAAAAGGAAAAGAGAAAAGAAGGTACTATGAGTTATTACTACAAATATTATAAGAAGTGAATGTCCTTTGTATATGCAATCAAAAAATATTTGCCCCGAGCTGCATATTAGCCATTAATATCATAAAATTTTTTGGTAATTCAAGGTGTCTCGACTAATTTAATTGTGCAAGACTAATAATTAAAAAAAACTTATATAGATTTTATTTTGTAACACAAGTTACACAACCTTTCCCAATGCCTTTCTTTTTAAATTTTTTGTTGGATAATATTAAACATAATCTATCGAATAGCTAATGTTCACGTATCCTAATTATTTTTGGCAAGACCAATTCACATGCAATTGATCTAAATCAACGTTGAAACAAAACTCAATTCAGATTATTTGGCATGGTTTAATTTAGAGCAGAAATTCGATGTATGTACTCAAATAAAATATAGTCACATGCTAATGCAAGAATCTATGTCGCATCAGTTATCTGTCATTTTTTTTTGGTGGTACATTTTGCAATTCAGCTGAGCCAATATTGAGGAATAGCTGAGATTTAATTTTTTTTTTATGGATTAGGGATATTCTTGAATACTTAGCTTCAAATACTCTCGAATTAGCTGTTAAACTTGGGCTTGAGGTATTTGCAAGGTGAAATATGGCTCAACCTCTTTTTTTTAACAGAATGGGTTCGTGGCCTTCGGCAACAGACGTAATTAAAATGTCAAAGGTTAAATTTCCACTTTCTTGAAGCATGTCATCAGTTAAATTTCCGTTTTACTTACCTTCAAGGCTTCACTGGTGCTGTGGTCTGTCCGTCTGTGTCCAGCTGCAACCGGCAACAAAGCTTCAGCCTTCAATGGCAGCTTCGGTGGCAGCGGCAGCTTCCTAGAAGAATTCTGACAGGCGGCAGCGGCTGCGGCAACTTCGAACTTCCAAGGTGCCGTGGTGTGTGTCCAGCTGCAACCGGCAACAAAGCTTCACCCTTCAATGGCAGCTTCGGTCGCAGCGGCGCTTCCTGGAAGAATTCTGGCAGGCGGCAGCGGCTGCGGCAACTTCGAACTTCCAAGGTGCCGTGGTGTGTGTCCAGTTGCAACCGGCAACAAAGCTTCACCCTTCAATGGCAGCTTCGGTGGCAGCGGCGCTTCCTAGAAGAATTCTAGCAGCGGCTGCGGCAAGTTCGAACTTCACTCTCAGAGGCTAGAGCAATTAGCAAAGCAAAGGAAAGAAAAATTGAAAGCCGTAGCCCTGAAAAATTGAAAGCCGAAAAATTGGAACATTGCTTGCCGAATCCTTAAATGCTCAAGAAGTTCTCAAATCTCAATTCGTTCTCACTTCTCAAGAGAAACAAAGAAGAAAAGAATCCCTAAATGCCTAAATCCCCAATGACGGCCGAATGCCCAAATGCCCGAATCCCTTTCAATTTTTCTGATTTTCTCTTCTAATTGGCTAAAAATGTAGCGAAAAGATGATAATGCCCATGTACTGTGAATGGTCAAAATAAAGAATTGGGTAAAATGGTAACTTCAAAAAAATTGCCAAAACCCACCGGATTTATCAATAACCGCCGGTTCTAGCGGTTCCATGGTTCAACCGTCCGAGTCGAACGAGTCTAGACGGGTTCTTTGCAATTCCGATCTAACTAGTAACCCGGCCCGGTTTGATGACCGGGTCACCGGTTCGAACGGTTCGACCGCCGGGCCGGGCCGGGTTTAATAACTATGGGAGAATCTATGCATTTGACTTAAATGAAATACATCCATCGGTAATTCCTTTGCAACTTCATTTGGAGAATAAACAATCAGTTACATTTGATGAAAACCAATCATTGCAAAATATAATCAATAACCCACGTTCCTCACAAACAATGCTTACAGAGTTTTTTAGCATGAATTGTTATGATGAACATGCCAAGCATTTGAATTGTCTATATATAGAGTTTCCTGAGCATTTTACTTGGAATGCACAATCAAAATATTGGACTAGACGAAAAAAAAAAGAAGTTATAGGTCGTATTTTAACTGCTCATCCTACTGAGGGGAGCGTTATTATTTAAGAATGTTGTTAATGCATGTTAGAAAACCTACTTCTTTCCAACATTTAAAAGTTGTCAATGGATATGCATGCCAAACATATAAAGAAGCTGCAAATTTACTTGGACTGTTACATTCCGACAATGCTGCTGAACTTTGCTTACAGGAGGCCTCTGCATACCAAATGCCAAGTTCTCTTAGACAACTCTTTGCATCTATACTGGCTTATTGTACTCCTAAAAACCCACGAGAGTTGTGGTTGAAATATGAAGATTTCTTATCTGAAGATATTCGACATAATACATCAGTCCGACCACATTCTGTGCAAATACAAGTGCTTCAACTGATTGATTCAAGTCTTCGGTCTATGGGAAAAAACATTGCTGAATACAATTTAACTGACATTCAGCTTGAACAATTGTCGCAGGACCTAAACAGTAAGGAAGTTGATGTTGAAAAAAGCATAGTTGTATCTAATGAAGATCTTGGTGCATTGGAGCAATTAAACTCAGACCAGAAATTAGCATTTGAGAAGATTATGCATGCTATTGATAATAACATCTCATGTGCATTCTTTTTAGATGGGCCAGGTGGAACTGGAAAAACTTTTTTATACAGGGCTCTACTTGCAGCAATACGATCGAAAGGAGGCATAGCATTAGCAACTGCAACATCTGGAATTGCAGCTTCAATTTTACCTGGTGGGCGTACAGCACATTCAAGGTTCAAAATTCCATTACAAGATAATGATACAGCAACTTGCAATATTGGGAAGCAAAGTGCTATTGCTAAATTAATAAGAGATGCAAAAGTAATTATTTGGGATGAAGCAAGCATGGCAAAACGCAGTTCGATAGAAAAATTTGATGATTCATTAAAAGATATCATGAATAAAGATGCTATATTTGGTGGCAAGATCATTGTTTTTGGTGGAGACTTTCGACAAACACTACCAGTGGTGACCAAAGGGTGTAAAGAAGAAATCGTCAATGCTAGCTTAATAACATCTCCTATTTGGCCGTACCTGATAAAATTGAAACTATCCCAGAACATGCGAGCTCAGCTAGATCCGGATTTCTCTAAATACCTTCTTCGAATTGGTAATGGTATCGAAGCAACAAACCAGAATGACGAAGTCTGTGTACCTGAACGAATGAATTTGGTATTTCTCAATGATGATTCATCAGTTGATGCCTTGATCACCGCGGTATTTCCAGATTTAAATGCTTTTGCTCATTGCCCGGATTCTATTGTTAACCATGCAATTTTAATGACGAGAAATGATTTTGTATTTGAAATTAATAACAAAGTCATTGCTAAATTTCCAGGTACAGAACAGGTATATTTAAGCTATGATGAAGTCCTTGATTCATCTCATCAATCAGAGACACAAGATTTTTTGAATTCACTAATGCCCAAAGGTTTACCTCTTCATAGGCTAACATTAAAGATTAATTGTCCTGTTATGTTGATTCGAAACATCAACCCTACTGAAGGCCTATCTAATGGCACCCGATTGATATGCAAAGAATTTGGAAACAATGTAATACATGCAGAGATTGCATGCGGTTCTCTTAAAGGTAAACATGTCTTTATTCCTCGAATTCCTTTGCAAACTTCTGATGATGATTTCTGCTCAGTTCCTTTCAAAAGAACACAATTTCCTCTGAGATTATGTTTTGCAATGACGATTAATAAAGCACAAGGACAAACATTGGATTATGTCGGTCTATATCTAAAAGAGCCTGTTTTCTCCCATGGCCAATTATATGTTGCATTATCACGTGGCAGGACATCAAGTAATGTTAAAGTATTAATACGACCTCCAAATCTGTTTTCCAAAGTAACAAATCTTACAAAAAATATAGTCTACAAAGAGGTCTTATCTGCAATCATGAATGATTAATGAATATATGCTAGCAATTCATATTGATACAGATTAAGGTATGTTATCTAACTCTTTATCCTAATTTCCATTTCAAATTTATTTTGTTTATACTTCCTTACTGCTTTCTTTGTGAAAGTAGGTAATGCCAAATTTGTTTCACAAATGAACAAGTCTGCTATTTTCATGAAGCATCATCCATCGGCAACCAATAGCCTGATCATATCATTATTAGTTAATATGTTTGATGGCACGAGTGCAGCAAAAAGTGTACATTCCAAGAAAGAAGAAGGAAAAACAAAATGTTCAGCTCAAGGTCTACAATCAAGAAACATGAGCTTTCTTCTACTTCTTAACAGAGAAAGGACTGGTCAAGAACAAAGTCAGGTTTCATCAACTGGCTGGAATAGAAGATGAAGAAAAAGTTGTAATTGTTGTTGATCCTAGAAGTAAAGGCAAAATCAGTGTCAATACTGCCAAGCCTATCCCTCCTAAGTAAGCAAAATTAGCAAGGTACACATACTCCTCTGCAAGTGCAATACATTTGTCATCCTCGATCAACAATAAGTTATCCATACTAGCTTCAGGTCCTGTTAATTATAATACAATTTGCCATGGATTGCCTTTTTCCCCGTTCCATGTTTCATGAGCTGAAAAAATCTGTATCAAGGTGTAGGATTTATCACTTCTTCATTTCCTACTTGATTTATAGCATTTTGATATTGTCCTAAAATTTAACATTTCAAATGCAATTATTTTTTGCAGAACAATTCCTTCTCTATGATGATTACAGACACTGCAAGAATTACCATTTGCTTCTCTATTCCTTCCAAGAAACTGACTTTCTTGGAATCTAATTCGTACTTTTATCTGTTGCCATTTGTCTATTTTCATCAGGAAACTTCAATATTTCTGCAAGATAGCATATTCACTACTGAAAAGTGAAAATTTGATCACTCTATTAGAGTTATATTCTGAATTTGGCATAACAAGCTCACAGTTGCTGAAGATGACTGCTGTCAAAAGAAAAAAGCAAAGTTTCAGTAGAATCAGTAATATATCCAGGCAAGAATCTTTAGAGTATTCTATAATTGGAGGGCTAGGCTTTTCAACATTAGTTTTTTGCAATGATCCTCTTCTTTTGCCCTACTTTTGTGGCATTTTTAATCCTTTTCCAATCTCTTATCCTTGTGACCTTAAAAAGATCAAAATGTGCAGGTTTTAGGTGAGAATGACGTCTCTCCAGCTGGATGTGCAGTATCTGTTGTAAACGAAGTGGTATCTGTCTACCTGGAACTTCGAGGGAGCATTAATACTGAAGCTGAGCGTGAAAAGCTGAAGATAAAGATGGAGGAGATTCAGAAGTAAGTGACATTTCTGATCTTAGATTATCAATAACCATCGGATTTGTGTCCAGGAGCTCAGCTCAAATGCCCCTTCTGAGTACATTGAAGTATTGTAGCTTATCAATAATCCCAGTATTTTCTGTCAAATTGCAGTAAATTTTCCAGTAGTTTTTATATGGTTTTGGACCATATTTTGCAATTAATTTCTAGAATTTTAATGCAAGGGGAATTTAATAAGCCTAACTATCATGCATCATTGATCTTGTAGCTGGTCTACCTGAGTTCATAGGTGTTACTCTGACAAATCAGTCAAGATTTTTGTTCCGAAATGTGGCATTGATGTTTCAAAAAGAAGGTACATGTTGTAGGTAATCAATTACTGCACTGTTCTGCTAATGCTTCTCCAGATACAACATTTTAGAATAATTCTAAAACGATGATGCACAGAAAACTTTGGCTTCCCTTTTCGTTTTCCTCTTTCCCTTATTCTCATTTTCCTTTCAGGAGGAAGAAAAGCTCCTACTTCGTCATCCTATACACTTCTTTCTCATGTTCTTTGCCCAATTTTATCACTTCCAAAGTTTTTATGTCCACATTTGTCTCGTCCTTTTGCAAGTCTTGAACTTTCCATTGCTGCCTTCTTCTGTTGTTAAATTGCTTAAAGATTGCTGATCTGCAATTGGTTTTGATTTGTTTAATCTGTATTTCGTGTTTTCTTTTTCACCCAGTATATAATAAAGATTTGGGAATAATACCAGGATATTGAAATAAACAACAGGTTAGTTAAAGTATACAGCAATCATAGAAGTTTCCAATACATCAAGTGCATCGATTTGAAAATTGGAGATGTAATGAAAGTGAAGAAGGATGAATTCTTTCCTGCTGATCTTGTTTTGCTTTCATCAAGTTATGAAGTCCAAATAATACCGTACCACGACATATCTGGAATAGTCGAAGCAGGGCAGCATTAGCTGCTGCAGCGACAGCTTGTACAAATGCTGCTGTTTGAAGCTGAACCATATTGAAGATTCATTAGACATATACTGCCATAGGAAGGTTATGTTTATAGCTATATGATTTTTGTGGCTGATTCTGTTTCTACAGAGCATTTGGTTTTGGTGTCGCACTTTATCCTTTTGTTGTCAAGTGCCATTTTCACTAAGTATAAGGGTTTTCATTTTAGAAATTCGTAAGTTTATTCTCCAGCTTATGAATCAAGTATTTGCGGTCCAGTTCTCCCTGTATAATGTTTTCATCTTTATTAGGAAAATATTAGCCGTACATCTTTCATTTCTCCTTAACTACTTGCCTTGCTTAGAGCTTTCTGGTTCTAAAGACTTTCCTGCATAAAAGGTTTTGAACTACTGCATCAGTCATTATTATAATCAAGTGACACCTTATCGCTTTTTTTATTGACGAAAAATCATGAAATCCTTCTTAAGAAATCATGATTACAACAAAAAGTTTATGATTAAATATAAGTTACACATCTTTGTCAAAATTCCAGATTCAACTGGAATATGCAATTAACATGTTTTTTCTGAGTCTCATTTAAGTCAAAAGACCAATTAGAGCATTGGAACGAAAATCTTGGATTCAATGGCAAGTCCTGGATCTACAATGGCAAAGGTGGTGCTTGACATTCTTTTACAAATCACAACAAATTCAAAAAAAAAAAAGGTTAAAGAAAGCTGCTATTACATAAAGCAACAGTTGCAGTAACCAAACGATGTCCAAATTGAAAACAAATGATTCTCTCGCATAAATAGCCAGCTGACACCCTTTACACCTCTAGCAACGCACCACAGAAGATACGAGTCTAAGGAAATTAAGAACATGGTAAGAAACTCTCATTCACTACCCTATATACCCTATACTAGGAAATGAATATGGATAAACTACTTAGGGGAGGAAAAAAATAGAGTCGAAAGGAAAATAAAAAAGCACCTTCTCTATTTTCTTATAAATTCTGTTCGCCAATTTTGATTAGAATAAAAAATATAAAGTCAAAACCCCCCTCAGAATTAGACCTCCCACTCCCAGATACTATCTCCCAGCTCCTAGCTGCTGCCTCTCTCTTCATTTCCTCTCCCCAGGTACCTTCAGCATTGTGTATGCGCAACAATTCATTGTATGCGATGAAGTCATATATTGTATCAATGAGCCACGGAATACCAATTCCCATGTAGATATTCACCGAATTGCTGCAAGAACAAACAACATTGAGGATACAAGTCTAAACAAAATGAAAAAGGAGAGAAAAGGAATCTATCATCCAACGACTTGCTCAAAACAAAATGGAGAATAAAAGAAAGACCTGCAAGTAATGTTTCCTATAGCAGATCCAACAGTAATCCACTACTCTGCTGCAATCTTGCTTGCGACTAAATCCAGCCACAAAGTCCCACCAGCCAATGCCTTAAAATGTATGACATTCCCACAGGTTAGAAGTGCTCATTCAAATGCAAGCTGTCATGATTATTTAGAGACCAGAAATTATTGCTAGCTTTGAAATACATCTAAGAAATAAAGAGATTATAACAGATCCAAAGGAATTTTATTTTGCTAACCTCCAATGAGTTTACCAGCTTAGAGCCTTCAACAACACCCGACTTAAACACCTGTACCTTCTATATTGCTACCTGTATCATGAAAGCCATATCCAGATGTCCTTCACAATATGCAGCAATCGTTTCTAATTTCATTGCATGACACATGTAAAACTCATTGGTAGGTGTAACACGTAATCTCTATCTGCCATGCACCATTTTAATCATTACATGCTTTCTCTGGCAGCTTCTAACCACATGCAATTAGATACTGTCTCCCATTAACAATGCGCCAGACCAAATGCTCATTATCACATATCACTCATTCCACTATCCTTACTCATTATATATAAATCAATTCCATCTCAACAGACACATCTCATTAGCTTGCACAGATTCGCAAACCTCTTCTTGTGCTTCTGAATCTTTGCTCTCCAATCTATCCAGGTAATTTCATTCCTAGCTTTCTTTTGCAATGCATTCAAACAAGCTCTCCTGAAACTAAATCCTTCACATATATAATACATAGAAACTTTTACTTTACTTATTAATTAATTTTACTTTGCTCCCTCTTTTTTCAGTATCAACATGGAGGGAAAATGCGTTCTGATACCAAAGTTAACAGACACGAACTCAAATTGGTTTGCTAAACTTATTGTGATAGAAAAAAGTGCAATTCGTTATAGCAAAGAAGATGGAAGGCCATATCAAAAATTAGTGTTCGCTGATGCTATGGTGAGATATATCAAACCAAATAAATTTTTATTCATCTACCTATTATCACACACACTTATACACAAAATCACTCATTACATCTCTTCAATTTTTAAATGCAGAAAAACACCATCCAAGGAACTATTTTCGAAAGAGACATTCAAGATATCGAGCCAATTCTTCAGCTTTATTCCACCTACTACATTGGAAATGCTTGGGTTACAAAAATAAGCATCCCTTTTTATCTTGCATCTTCACCATATCAGTTAACAATCTCGAAAAGAACATTTATTCAGGCTGTTTCATCACATGATGCATTGCCCTCTGATGATTGCTATGAATTAACACCCTTTACACAGCTACATAATTACATTGGCGATTACTCAACAAGAATAAGTATGATTTTCATCCACTGCCTTACACTGCCTTTTACAAAACATGTAGTCTAAATACAATTGATCTCTGATGTACAGATATCCTCTGTGCTGTCCTGCATGCGCTACCTCCTCGCTTAGTGCCAAGAGGAAAACGATATGTGCCGATCCAAGAATTTGCTGTCGTTAATGAAGAGTACTTGCCAATTCTAACTAAAAGTTATTCTCTACCATATGTTACTAATTCATAATATTTACACTTCTATACATGCAGAAAACGACCAATGACTTTTACGATATGGGAAGAATTCTTATCTGTCGAAGGATCGCAATTAAAAGCAATGGCACCTCAGCAACCTATCATCTTACTGGCTAGACCAAAAGTCAACTCGTATCACAGTAAGCATATTATTTTCTGATACAAATTTACAACTATATAAAATTATCACACACCTTCACAATCTATATTCTTATTTACATTCAATTGCAGCAATTTCTCTGGGAACACAAGCAACCACTATCATATTATTCAATCCAGAAATCCCCCAAGCCACAGCTTTGAGAAACTGGTAATCCTATTAATTTAAACTATATAATCCTCATATCAACCAGATTCATAAACCCAACTTTTATGCAGGATAAAGGAAAATAGCTGTTACATACAAACAATAATCAAAGAAAGACTATATGAAAAAGCAAATCAAATTATCCATCCACCAACCACTGCACAACTACAAGAAATAGCGACAATTCCTATGACAGCTGAACATGTAAGTCTTAATCATACTGCTATTAATCAGTTGCAGATAAAATTACCAATACCTAACATATATCGTATGAAATCACAGACCAGGCCCTTTTGGATAAAGGCTCAGATTCGTATCTCAGTGACAAACACACGTTTTTACTACCTAAGTTGTCCAAAACCTGATTGTTCAAAACCAACAGGAGCTGATACTGATACAGAATTCAAATGCTTTTACTGCCATCTCACTTACCAAAAACCATTACCAAGGTTCGCATTTAATTTCTATGCTTTATCAATTACTACTTAATTTTGTACCTATTCTAATATTATGCTTAACAATTTGATGTAATGGCAGGCTCCGTTTTGAAGTTCAACTCTTTGATGGTACAAGTATTCTACCAGCATTAATTGAAGACAAATATGCAGAGTCTATTCTTCAAATGTCAGCCGAGCAAATCAAATCATAAACATGCAAAAGATACATGAACAAATCAACATCCAGCTAATCAATAACAACCTCCAAGATACCCAATTCTACATCCAACTACGAAATATCATTCGACCATCAGAAACACTTCAGCCTGCACGATACATTGTTGTTGCTTATCTTACAATCCCTCCGACCCCAAACACTATTCCCCATCTAGCCGCCGACAACAGTAACCTTCAGATCACAACTGTGATTGACTCTACCGAACCAAGCACATCCAAGAACCTACACATGAACCATCAATCGATACCACCATCAATGACCAAATTACGTCAATCAAGCAACAAACAACATCAAAAACACCCCCTTCAGCCAGTTCAAGAAGCCCACAACAAACGCCCAAAGCCATAAACACCTCAGCACCTTCTAAATCTCTCACTCAGCACACCTTCTATCACTTTTGCTCAGCCCTACCATCAATATTATATCTATAATCAACCTCAAGCAATATTGCAAATGGCTAATGCAGACCCTGCTTAGACACTTTTATACCTAAGGCGCGGAATGTACATAAACGCCAGTTAGTTTAGCAAGGCCACTTTTGAATATATCTTGCTCTTGTTGCTCTTGTAAATGAAATATATGTAAGATATAACTACTTATCCTGTTCCTACTCAAATTCGCACATATCTTACATATACATTGCTTAAAGTTTGATTTCTTCTTCTTATACACAATTATACCGCATCAGCATAATTCAATTACAGCTACATAAATATTAAGCAAAATATAACAAGAAGATATCTAAAAAATCCTTCTAAAAACAATCAAATAATTCACCAAAAAATACTTCTAAAAAAAACAAACTTTAGATTCAATGATACCACTCCAAACCAGCCAAAGGAAAAAAAAAAAAAGAGGAAAAATCAAACGTCCAATATTCACAAACCACTATTACATACCAACTATTATAACAATCAATGAAATAACAACCGTAACATACCACACCAAAACTACAAACTATGCACAAATCACTCTTAGATACTAGCTATTATAACACCAACAGAAATATCACCACAAGCGATGCCAAAAATCCTTCACTTTCATTGCTCAAAAGCCAGTATCACCAACAAATGTATCATACCAATGCTTAGCTGCTGAGCCACGAGCAAATTAGGATTATACATAATAATGGTAGTCGCTTGAGTTGCAATAGAAAGACCTGCGAATAAAAAAAAATACAAAAAATATCTACATAAACAAAATCCTAGACACAACCATAAAATAAATAATAAAAACTAAAATCAAAACCCATATACCATGAAGATGACTAATACGTGGACGACAAATCATAACAACTGGTCGCTCGTTGATAAGTTCAACTAAATGCATGCCATCATCCTCAAAATAATCATCCCATACTGAAAACACTATTGGTATCCTCCTGCAAAAATTATATACACACTAAAATTAAACAAACACAATTAAAAAAATATAATTATAACTATATTAACTAACCATACAGAAACTGATAACATACTCTTCATTCAAGATAATAAACTCTTGCAGATGAACTTGTCTATTTCCGATGGCGTAAAATATTGCCGGACCAGCATAAACAGCTACACCAAGCAAAGCTATCATATAAAAATAACAAATTAGCCTGCAATCACACCAATAATACCTAAACTTACTAATACACCACAACCAAAAAAACAAAAAAAAGTTATACTTATCCTTGCATTTGGATTAACCCTCAAAGAATCCAAATCGCAAAAACGAGTCAGTTCATAGAAATTTTCCACCGATAATGCATGCTCAGGTAAAACACGATTAATCACAGTATTATGTGATATAATAATCTCATATGGAACCATCCCAATCTGCATCCGTGAACTACGTAGACACTGTATAGTGGCATTTGCAATATAATATGTCCCATGCAACTCCAATGCACAATCCATAGCATCCAGATCAGATAAATATGTTATTCCTTGAATTGTATCACCCTGAAAAAAAGAGATACCTATTATCCATATCAACAAAACAAAAACACAATAAAACTTACAAAAACAAGTCTAAGAAGCCCTTACAGAAGCATCAGCAAAAACAACTCGAAAAAACATTCGAGTCGAATTCCGCGGTCGCCGAAATAAAGTTTTTTCCACGACAACTAACTTAGCAATCCATCCTCGAATTCTATCATTCAATCCGCAAACACTAACACACTGCGACTCCATCCAACTGAAAAAAAACACACACTTTGCAAAATACAAACTACTACCTAGCAAACCAAAAATATATCACACATAACCATTCCCAAAACACGAAGGTCCTTATATATAGTAGCAAGAAACTGGCCACGTACAAAAGAAAATCAGCACAACTTGGCAATTTTTCCTGACACAATCAACGCATGAAACACAAGTAGCAATCCTACTCATGCAAACTACAAATCAGATACTACAAAATCACATAAACAACACCTGGCTAACGCCAGTACAAACCACCGCCACAGCCTCACCTTTCTCAACTTCTATCTTTCATACCTACCTGACGCATAGCGTCAGGGCAAAACATCTAGTCTTACATATATAAAGCGAGAATCCGCTTGTGAACAGTAAAAAATGGGCCGGTTATGCCGTTATTTGTGTGAGCTTGAGGGGCGTTTTGGTCTTTTGCTGATGGGTGTCAGTGGCTCTGCTGGTATTTTGCTTTTGTCCGCTGGCTCTCTTGCATTGTAACCTTGCTCTGTCCGCGTGGCTCTTCATTTTGGTAGTCAGCAATGCTCTGTCCGCGTGGCTCTTCACTTTGGTAGTCAGCAATTACTATTAAGTTAGTGGGCGGTTGGGCGGCAAAAGCTTTCTAGAGTCTTCATTCTTTGCTTTATGTATATTTCACCTCACACGCATGTTTGGTTTCCTAAGCTTTTGTGTAATTGCAGTTGCTTTGCCTCCGATGGTGAGTAGGCAGTGGACGGTGTCCCAGTGATCTCTGGTTTTGCAAAGTTTTCAATAGTCTTCACTTGTTGCTTTATGTATATTACGCCTCACACGTATGTTTGGTTTCCTAATCTCTTGTGTAATTGCAGTTGCTTTGCCTCCACTGGTGAGTAGGCAGTGGATGGTGTCCCCAGTGATCTTTGGTTTTGCAAGGTGAAATCTTCATTGTCTCACTTAGCTGATTTTCTGAGCAAGCTGATCTTCTAAAGTCTCCACTCTTTGCTTTATTTGCGCATTTTGATGGTTTGCTGTAGATTAATGTTTTGACAATGGGTCGGAATAGAGTCTTGAGTGGTGTTTTGGTCTTCTGGCATTGGATGGTAGTGGTTTTGGTGGAAATTCACTGCTGTCCGCATGCTATTATTGGATAGGAGCAATTTTGGCGGTGGCAATTTCGGCCTTGTTTCCTCTCTTCTTTTTCTTGGCTTTCTTTACCAGGTGTCCAAGCAATTTTGGCTTTCTTCAACATTCCCCACGTGCTGTTCTCGGACGGCAACAAGTTTAGCAGTGATTTGAGGTACAATGGAACCACCACCGCTTGAAAGCTCTGCAATCTCCATTGCCCTTTCTCGTTCTTCTCTTGGCCTTCTCTGCCAGTTTTTTTCACTCATCATCTTCCTATTTAATTTTTCCCTACACCACATCTTTCTCCATGATCTTATCTAGAAATCTACAGTAGATTCCCTCTCAATTTTTCCTACACGCACAACAAAAATGTAATCACCTTTTCCAATTAATCCCATCTCCGTAATTCCATTTTTGAATTGTTTTGCCTCTCTTTCTTCTTATTTTTTTACTTTTAAGTGTTCTAGGTTTTATCATTGCATGGGATTTCAATTTTCATGTGAATGGTTGGATTTTTTCTTGAGTTGGGGTTGACTAAATATGTCATTACAGGAAGTGGAGAAGTGGGCGACGAAGGAGGAGAGCTCCTTCCATTGGCATTAGAGGGAGATTTATAGTTGCATAGGACATTGGAAACCACAAGGCTCCGATTGGAGTTCAAAGATAAATAGGCATATTGAGCCAATCCCAAAAATCAGAGGGTAAAAGATAAAAATAAACTTCTCTACTCTAATTCTCACTTTTTTTAATGCATTTTGCAGAGTTCCCACGAATCTTCCGTAACTTTCAAATTTAATTTTCCTAACCCAGAAAAACTACTCGGGATGTAATTTAGAACTAATCTTTCTGAAGTGGCGTTGGACGCTGAAGAGTGCTGCTGGGGGGAATAAACAACATGGTCGAGATTCGAAAGAACCGTAAAGAAGAAAGCTTGCGGAAGAAGCTCCGCGAAGGCCTGCAGAATGCATTTGCTGTTCAATCGGATACCTCTTCTGTCGAAAAAAATGTCTAAATAAATTAGAATTTATATTTTGTTCCTTTGAAGTTGTTGCTGCAGATGGCTTTAAGTAGGGTTGTGATTAAATTTAAATTTGCGATTGTGTTGTTTTTGGGCAGGATTTTCACAATTTTTTTTACAGTTTCCTTGTGTTTGAATAGAGCTAGGGCTTGCACTTCAGCGCTTTTCTTGAAAGTATGTCAAAAAAAAAAAACACACATACACACACAAAAGTAATAAAAATATACCACAGCAGAAAAAAAAAAAAACAGTCCAGGCTATCTGACGCATAGCGTCAGGGCAGAAAAAACTAGTACATATATAAAGCACGAATAGCTTGTGAACAGTACCGATGGACCGTTATGCCGTGATTTGTGTGAGCTTGAGGGGCGTTTTGGTCTTTTGCTGATGGGTGGCGTGGTTTTGTTGGAAATTCACTCCTGTCCGCGTGGGCAAATGGTCCGGTTACTCCGTAATTTTCATGAACTCTGGGGGTGTTTGTTGGTTGGATGATTTTTCGGTGGCTTGGGGAAACGTGGGTGCAGTTAGCCTCATTGGAATCGGTGGACGTTCTTTGCTTTGCCTTCTCTCTCTCTTCCTTGCTCTCTTCTAATTACCACTTTCACTCCTGCTCTTCTGTCCGCGTAGGCCTCTTGGATGGGAACATTTTGGCGGTCAGTAATTTCCTCTCATTTTGTTCTTGGTTCTGTTCATTCTGTTTTTGGTAAAAGGATAAACTTTCTTTAAAAAAAATGCAATTTAAGAAATAGATTATAATTTTTAAACTGTTACAGTATGTCCAATTTTTTTTCTTTTGAGAATGAAAAAAATGATTCAATAAATACAAATTATCAAAACCAAAATCATCAAAATCTCCAAAAAAAAAAAAAAAACTACTGAATATACAAAAATTATTAATTCAATTTTACATTGGTTTGAAAATATTTTTAAATATGTTTGAATGCTCATTCAAGTCTAGCAAACAAAAGAAAATGACAAACCCATTTTATAATTGTCTTTCTTTATCTTTTCTTTCTTCTATAAAAGATTGTTAAATGTGAAGTACTAGCAAATAGAAAGTGTCAAAAAAATGGAAATTGTCAAATTGCTTGTCTTAGAGAAGTAACGTGACTAATAAGCAAGGCTACACATTACATGTATAATCATATGCCTTTTAGTTCTACCTAATATTAAGCATTACTTACTGATTAATACTATATTAAGAATGTAAGATAACCTGATTTCAAAGTCATATTTATTTGTGTAATTAGGAAAAAAATACACTCATACACATGACTATTATATCTAACAAAAAAAAACACACACAAACATAACACCAAAATAACGAGTCTCAGCTACCTGACGCATAGCGTCAGGGCTAAAAAACTAGTATATATATATATATATATATATGATTACAAGCTAATTCTGCTCGGCCCTTCTGTTGCGACACTCATGATGTTGACTGTACATGCATGATGAAGTGTTGCTGACATTATTGGTCTGGACCTTCAGCAGACGGAGACTGAAGCTTAGATGAAAAAGTAGTTGACAATAAGCCACCTTCTTGTGTTTTTCTCATACTACTTACCAATCCTGTTACGGACGGACCATCTCCTGATTCACTTGGAACTTCTTCTGAATTATATTAATATATATATATATATATGTTCATGCAGAAAACTGCTGTTGTAAGTTCTAACAAATTCGTACGAGAGCAACCTAAAAGCGGCTACTTGATGATATCATCATCATTTCACTTCCCAGCAACTCATGTGAATATCTGACTCATGTGTTATCGTTACATTTCCTTGGATCTGATATGGTGGCTTCATGTACATGGTTGCTATCCATGTATCTTGAGTTCCTGTTTTCTAACTGAAATCTTTTTTCAATGATCTCCAAAACCAACCAAAGCTTTTTTCCTCTCTCCTTCCTGTCGGAATATAAATGGAATAAGTTTAAACATACTAAACTTTTTTATGTGATACAGTGTAAGAGGAATAAAATCTTGATGATCACCCCCCCCAACACACACACACACACACACACACACAAAGCCTGAGATCTACTTGGTCTACGGAACTATTTATCTTTCAAGTCATTCCTTTTTGTCTGCACTCTTTAGTACTGTAAAGATCATTTACACCCTTGAGGTTTCGAAAAGTGGCACGAACACCCTTTTAATTTCTGAAACTATTATCTAGAAGCCCCTCTGTTACTATTGTGGTAGTTTTCTATAGTTAATTTATTGAAATGACCCCCTTGTAGCTACATTCTTTTGTTTCCAAAATCACTCTTTGCTTACTTAACTGTATCACAAAAATGAAGACAACTGTTGGAGCCTGTATCAATTAATAGGATCAAACAAGTCTAGACATGAATATAATTCACAACATTTTTTATAAGTATAATTTTATTAATATTAAAAGATTATTTCCGCTTTTCAGAAAAGAAAAGAGGGTATCCTGATTCGCATTGAAGTACTTTTCATTCAAGCAGACAACAGAATGTGAAAAATAGCAAAAATAAAAGACAATTGATCAAATTAAAGTCCTTGTATGAGAACACATCTCACGCTAATTGAGAGGTTTTTCGGTCAAGATGAAGTTACCATAAGCATGCCTAAAGATACCATTCTAAGAGGAGGATGAGAGCAATTTTCTGATCACATGAGTGAAGTGCTTTGTGAAATTCAAATTATTGTAAATGTAAAGCTCATACGGGTACCAGGTAGTTTAATTTTGGATTTTGTAAAACCTGGGTGTATAAAAAATGATCAGGTCATGTAAATATACTTGAACATATGCCTGGTGTAAGTCAATCTTGACCTTTCTTCTTTTTAAATTTTTTTTTTTTTAAACTTCTTTCTGTGTTGGTATTCACTTACAGTGACTTCAAGGATACTGACTTTTCAGGAGGCAAAGGAGCATCTTGGAGCTCTGGCAGACAAGCTTGGTCCATCCCTGACAGATATAGATGTATGTTGAGGCTCTTACTTTGAAGTGAGAAAACCTATGTTATATAATGCACATCTATCTGATGATGCCATTTTTTCCCTTTTCCCTGAATACCAGTTGTCAGTGAAAACACCACAAACACCTTCTGATGCTGCTGAACAAGGTGATTTTCTGCCCCAGGAAATACTGGTTAATGAATTTTGGTACTCCTGCAATGTTTGTCCATTTAATTTATCAGGGAACAGAGCTAGTAATTCTAATTCATAAGGTCACTGGTGGCAATATATGAAGTTAGAACCAACCCCTGTTCTCCCCACCCCCACCACCACCCCCCCAACCAAAAAAAAAAGAGAAATTGAAAAGGGAAAAGTCAAAAATCTTTTCAACTCCAATTGTCAATTTTAGTCCAAAATTATGTCTCAGATCTACCAAAAGCAGAAGAAAGAGGTTGACCAATTAACTGCAAAATCCTCATCCCCTTAAGTTCTTGGGGTTTGTCTTTCACTTTTGATTTCCAGAGTATCTAAAGCTTGTCATCATCATTTTTTAATTTAATTTTTTGTCTCATGCATTTTCTGCTTTGTTGTGGATCAGGTGTTTTTCCATAAGGTTTTTCTTCTGTATTAATTCAAGGATTTTATAAAAGTAAAATTTCATTTGGTAGATATATGTATGATAGCTTCCAAGCTGAAATGCACTTGGGTTATAATAATATTCTTGTAATCTGCTGCATGTATCTTAGATAACTATTTCATAACTCCATTGGTAGCCAATTTGGGTTTGATTACTGTGGTGAGCACAATATTTCATTTCTGAGTGTGATGGATTCTGATTAGTGCTTTTTCCTGTTCTTCTTGTTTGCGAGAACTAGACTATGATAAAAAGGCAGAAGATGCTGTTGATTATGAAGATATTGAGGAGCAATATGAAGGGCCGGAGGTCCAAGCAGCTACAGAAGAGGATTTTTTGTTGCCAAGAAAGGACTATTTTTCTAAAGAAATATCAATGAGTACTTTGGGGAATATCAATTCTGTCTTTGATGATGAAAATTATGACGAGGATGATGAATCAGAAAAGAAGGACGAGGTGGCCGAAAGCAATATTGAAGTGAAATCCATACTTTCAGCAGGTTTAATTATGAATCATTGTCAATCTATCAATTTTTGAGTGTTGCATTTAAAGGATTTGGATATGCCTTTATGCTGTCTTTTAGTTATTTATAGTTTAGATTGTCTTTTTTCTTGATGTCGGAATGTGAATATTAGAGTCTAATTTGTCCCAGGTTTTGTTTCGGGGGCTTAGAAACTAAATGCTTAGCTGTTTCTCTTTATTCATCTACGAAGGCCCTGCATGTAGTCTTTTTTGAGTATGTAGTTGGTGGATTAATGGCTAAAAAAGGAACTTTAAGTTTGCTAATAAAGTTGCCAGGTATGGGTTTAGTGCTCAGTAGTATGTCTTCCTTCAGTGGTAGAAGCACAAGAAGTTGTTGTGAGTGGATATAGATATTTGATTCTTGTACTGTAGTAGTGTTGATGACTCCCTCTTGGCCGAGTGCTTTTCAGCTTTTTGAACTCTCTGGTTATGAGGTAATCATGTACTTTCCTATTGTATTACTTCCGCAGCACCCTTGTGTTGCTTAAGGTACCAATACCCATAAATTGGCATTTCATTTCAGCTTTTCAGTTCTTGAGCCAAAAACTTAAAAAAAAAAAAACTAGTGTCATGATGGAGCATCACCTGGTTGAAGACAATGTGCTGTATATAGAAAGTTAATGTCCGGAGGACGGATGGGTGTATGCAGTGTGATATTCTTTGGGGGTGTGGATAGTGCAGGCACATATGTTAATATGTGCCTAGAAATGGAGTCTATTTA